TCCAATAAAAATTCCACCGGTATTCTTCAAAGAGCTGGAGCAAATAATCCAAAAATTTGTATGGAACCAGAAGAGACCCCGAATCGCTAAGGAAATGTTGAAAAACAAAAATAAAACTGGAGGCATCACGCTACCTGATTTCAAGCTTTACTACAAAGCTGTGATCACTAAGACAGCATGGTACTGGCATAAAAACAGACACATAGACCTGTGGAACAGAGTAGAGATCCCAGATATGGACCCCCAACTCTATGGTCAGTTAATCTTCGACAAAACAGGAAAAAATATACAGTGGAAAAAAGACAGTCTCTTCAATAAATGGTGCTGGGAAAACTGGGCAGCTATATGTAGAAGAATGAAACTTGACCATTCTCTTACACCGTACACAAAGATAAACTCAAAATGGATAAAAGATCTCATTGTGGTTTTAACTTACATTTCCCTGATGGCTAATGATACTGAGCATCTTTTCATATGCTTATTGGCCATTCGTGTATCTTTAGAAAACTGTCGGGGTGCCTGGGTGGCTCAGTGGGTTAAAAAACTGCCTATTCAGATCCTTTGCCCGTTTTTTTTTTTAAATTGGGCTCTTTGTCTTCGTATTATAGAGCTGGAAGACTGCCTCCATTTTGATATACTTTCTTCACCTAGCTTTAGGACACCACTCTTGTAGTTATCTTCTTCCCATCTATCATTCCACACCAGTCTTCTTTACTGGTTCCTTTTCTTTTCCAGGACTTCTTAATATTGGAGAGCCTATGGCTCAGCACTAGATCCTCTTCTCTTCTCACTCTCATGCAGTCTCGTGGGTTAACACAATCTACATGCCATTGATTTCCAAATGTCTATTTCAGCAGGAGCTTCGCCTGCATTAGGTAGCTTTGGCCGATGCACTGGGGAAGCACTCTCTGCCCTGAAGGTCCAGTGTGTTTCAACCCCTACTTCAGGAGAAGTTCATTCTGGCTCCAGAGGCAGCAGCACAAATGAGAACCAAGCAGGAGCCCAGGGACCAGATGAACACAGCAGACTACATAATATGCACCAGCAGAAAACCAAATATTCATTGGAATCACAGGCTGCAAAAGCAAGCCAAAACCCACGTATTAAACCTAAACAGAGTGACATCTGCTAAGCTGGGAGATTTAAATAGGATTTAGAGTCACCTAATATAATATCTAAAATGTCCAGAACACAACTGGAAATCACTCATCATACCAAAAATCAGAGGAAAATAAATGTGAATGAGAAAGAACAATCAACAGACCCCAACAAAAGGTGATGAAACAGATGATAGAATTATCTGACAAAACCCTTAAAGTATCAAAATGCTTCAGTGAGTAAGTACAAATATTCTTGAAGTAAATTAAAATATAAAAAATCTCAGCCAAGGAATAGAAGATATTAAAAAAAAAACCTAAGTGGCAATTATAGGAATTATAATAACTGAAAAAATACATTAACTAAAAGTAAAAACTCACTAAATGGGCTAGACAGGAGAACATGAAAGAGAAAGGAATCAGGGAATTTCTTTCCTTTTTTCTTTTTTAAAATCAGGGAATTTCAAAATAGAACAATACAATTACCTAATCTGAAAAAGAGAGAAAAGCAACTGAAAAAAATAAATGAACAGAGCCTCAGGGACCTGTGAAACAATAATAAAAGATCTAACAATATCATCAATATCCCAAAGAAAGAGAACTTGAACTCATGGAAACAGAGGGTGGAATGGTATTTACCAGGGGCTAGGGAGTGGGAGAAATCAGGAGATGCTGCTCAAAGGATACGAGCTTTCAGCTATAAGATAAATAAGTTCTGGGTTTCTAATATACAACACGGTATCTATAGTTAATAGTACTCTATTATATGCCTGAAATTTACTAAGAGACAAGATCTCAAGTGGTCTCACCACACACTCACAAAAAAAGTACATGAGGTGATGAATGTGTGAATTAACGTCCTCATGGTGATCATTTCACAAAGTATATGCTTATCGAATCATCACATTATACACTTTAAAACACAGAAAATTTTACTTGTCAATGATACTTCAATAAAGCTAGAAAAGGAAGGAAGGATGTTTGTTTGAAAATATCCCAAAGATGATGAAAGGTATAAATATACAGATCCAAGAAGCTGAGAGATCCTGAATATAATTCCTAAAGAAATCTTTAACAAGCCTCTCTTCCAGCCCAGCCAGCTTCCCAGACTCCTATCTCCCAGTGTCTAGTCCATACTTCCAAAGCGATGTCCAAACAGTATTTCAGTGCTTGCATGTCCACATTAACTGCCCCTGTCCCTCAGAGTCTCCAACATCTCTGCAAACAACAGTTCAAGTTGCTCAGAGCAAAAGTCTTGGGAATCATCCCAGAACCCTGTCTTCTCACACTTCACCTTCAATCCACTAGGAAATCATGGCACTTCTAGTCTCAGAATAGATCTGGGACACACCCCTTCCACTGCCTACTTGCATCTTTCTCGTGGATTACAGTGACAGTCACCTAACTGGCTTCTACCCTTGCCCCTTGATAATTATCAACAAATTAGACAGAGAAATCTTTTTTAAATTTAAATCAGATTAGATCATTCTTCTGCTTGAAACTCTGTAATGACTCATCTCTCATTAGAGCCCATGTCCTTATCATGGCCTAGGAGCCCTACTTGATCTGGCCCAGTCTGTTCTCTCTCTGGCTTTTTCTCTCACCACTGCCCTCTCCCTGACTCTGGTCTAACCACCCTGGCCTCCATGCAGCTCCTTATACCTTCCAGACAAGCTCCCACCTTAGAAAGGCTTTGCAGGGTGTTCCCTTTGTCTGGGTGACTGAAATCTGCATGATGAATGCCTTCACCTGTTTCTCGTCTTTGTCCATTAAGCTCTCTCCTGACGGTCCTGCCTAAAACTGCAAACGCTTCTTGTCCTGGCCTCATGATCCTCTTACCCTGATCTACTTTTTTATGTTTTCCATAGCTGTTATCAGCTTCTAACTTATTATATTTAGTGATATATATTTTTGTTGGCTGTCTCCCCTGAGGAAAGGACTCTCCATGTCTTCGTTCTTTTATGTAATGCAAATACCAAGAACAGTGCCTGATGTATAGAATAGGCAATAAATAAGTACTTGTTGAAGGAACAGGGTGAAACAGATAGAGGCACTCCCTAGTCTGAAAGAGGAAAGAAGGTGCATTCATTTTTCTATTGCTGCTTAACAAATGAAAATAAATTTAGTGGCTTAAGACAAAGCCATTTATGATCTTTCAGACCCATATTTCAGGAGTCTGGGCATGGTGGCTGCAATGAGGCTTTTGCCAGATTGCCTGGAAAGACCCATTTCCAAGTTTGTTGTAGGTTGTAGGACTGAGGTTCCTGCTTTTTTTCCCAGCTGTTGGCTGAGGCTGTTCTCTGCTTCTAGAAACCACTCTTAGGTCCTTGCCATGTGGCCATCTCCAAAGATAGTTTATAACATGGCAGTTTTCCCCTTCAAGTTCAGCAGGAAATTTGATCATGCTTCAGATCTCTTCCTTTAGGTAGGACCCAGTCCCTTTTAAGAGTTCCCCAAATTAGGGGCACCTGGGTGGCTCAGTGGGTTAAAGCCTCTGCCTTCAGCTCAGGTCATGATCTCAGGGTCCTGGGATCGAGCCCCACATCGGGCTCTCTGCTCAGCGGGGAGCCTGCTTCCCTCTCTCTCTCTCTCTCTCTGCCTGCCTCTCTGCCTACTTGTGATCTCTGTCTGTCAAATAAATAAGTAAAAATCTTAAAAAAAAAAAAAAAGAGTTCCCCAAATTAGGGAGGAATCCTCCAAGATAATCTCTCTTTTGATCAACTGACTTGGGACCTTAAACACAAACCCTTCATTTTTGTCACATAATGCCTCCTTACCAAGGGAGTGACTTCCATCATAGTCCTGACACACTGGAAATAGAGGGGATCACACTGGGCATGTACACCAAGAGGAAGACATCCTAGGGGCCCTCTTAACATACCACAGGAAGACAGGTCTGAAGTTGTGTTTTCTTGTGCACCAGCTGGCCAAACAAAGTGAAAAACTATGGTAGTCAGTGGTCATAGAATCAGGATTTCTGGGAAAAAGAATGCTATAAAAATACCTTAGTCATCCCCATGTTCATAACAGCATTACTCACAAGAGCCAAAACATGGAAGCAACTCAAGTGTCCCTTGACAGATGACTGGATAAATAAATGTGAGACATACATACAATGGAATATTATTCAGCCTTAAAAAGGAAGCAAATTCAGATACACACTGCTGACACAGACGAACCCAGAGACAGTAGGCTAGGTGAAGTAAGCCAGTCACAAAGGACGGATACTGTAGGATTCTACCTCTGTGAGGTGACTGGGGTTGACAAATCCACAGAGACAGTAGAATGGTGGTAGCCTGGGGCTGGGCACAGAGTGCCAGTTTTGTAAGATGAGAAAGAATACTGGTGACTGGTTGCACACAATGTGAACTTGAGGCTACTGAACCATACAGTTAAACTCGTCTAAGATGTGGAGGGCCTGCATGGCTCAGTTGGTTAAGCATCCAACTCTTGATTTCAGTTCAGGCCACGATTTCAGGGTCATGGGATCAAGCCCTAAGCGGGGCCCCTCGTTCAGCACGGAGTCTGTTTGAGATTCTGTCTCTCCCTCTGCTCCCCTTGCACTCTTTAAATAAATAAATAAAATCTTTTTAAAAAATAAAACATCTTAAGATGGTACATTTTATGTCATGTGTACTTTGCCATAATCAAAAATAATAATAATAATAGTAATATCTTTGCCAATATAACTATTTTTGACTATTTTAACTCTTCATAGGTATGGGTGTCTGTATCATGACAGGCTGAGCGTGGAGGAATGCAAATATGACTGTCATAGGCTTCACAGTGACTAGAGATTAAAGCTATGTTTGTTTTTTAATATCATTATTATTCTATCAGAAATAACCATAGAAACGACAATCTAAATGAGCTTCCCTCTTTCCAGTCAGAAGCATAACTCACCTGCCCCAGATCCAAGGTGACATTGACTTTGTTGTACTGTGTGCCTGAGGACAGAGGAGGGCTTTGCCACCATTGCTCGGATCCGTCAATTGCGTTGGTGACAGGATGTGCTCTCCTGGGGTCCTCAGAATTGCAGTAGTCACAGAATTGGCCCTGGAGGGGAAAAAAAAAAAAAAAAGCTCTTTTGTTATTTTCAAGTAATTTTTTCTATCAGTTTAGTAAAGAGGTAAGTAAAACAAAGACCACTCGGCCTAGCTTAGGGATGTCAGCTGTGAGATTGATGGCAACGTATTCTGAAGACAGTAATAAGTCTTTTTGTTTTTCACTTAATTTTAAACCATATCACCTGTTTACGCCTGTTTATAATGTTTCTAGGACAGATATCATATTTATCTTCCATGTTTTACAGCTATGTTTCTCTCGTCCTATATGACATTTTAAGAGGAACCTGTTGTACCTGAGATGCCAAGATGTTTTCCTTCAGCAAATTCATTTTACTCTTTACATTCTCCTCTGCAATTTCCACGTCAGGCACTACAATACAAAGAGAATCCCTATCCGCAGTCCCAGCGGAGGCGATAAGGAGACAAATAACCATAAGGGAAGTGGGGTACGGTAAGCATATAGTGGTCTGGGTCCAAGGTGATGCGTAGGCCAGGGGCTCAGGGAATGGGGTGGAAGAGGTGGGACTAAGTCGCCGGTGAGGATGCACCAGGCTTTGGTAAGTGTCAGTGAGCGGCAAACAGGGAAGGGGTTCCAGGCGGAGGAACCAGTGCGAGCAAAGGCACGGAGGCCAGTTGGTCCAGTTTAACAAGAGCGTAAGTAACGGAAGACAAGGCCTGAAAGGTAAGTGGGGAGATCACAGCTGGGGCTGAAGATACCAAAGTGAGAAGTCAAGAGTTAAGCCCACAGATAAATGAGAATCCATTTTCACCTGGAGTGATAGCTCCTTGGTATTACCATCTTTACTAAATTCTGACACCAGGGATATGACCTCATCTTCTTACTGACTTCTTCTTCTTGGTAGGCAAATTCTTGGTTCTATTTTGTTTTGCTTGCCATGCAGAATTTTACAGCCTAAAAAGCTGAACATAGGCCTTTTCCATATATTGATTACACTTGCCCTGGGTCAAAAGATCATGCTTAACCAGTAGTGTGCTTCACACACTGAACTGCTTTCCTCTCCAGTTAAATCACCTCAGAGCATCACCACCATATAGGAGGGGGGTAAAGAAGCAAACTTAGAGCCACAGCCTTCCCAGAATGTTCTGCAGCACAAGGGTAGCTCTACCCCTGCCCAGCGTCTTGAAAGTTAATTCTTAAGTGTTCAAAGTTTGATCCTGGTGTGTGACCACATGTTTTCATTGAGTGTGTAACTGAGGATTCTCTCATATGCAGAGATAAATTATGTACATCTTTTTTTTTTTTTTACTTTATTTTTTGACATTCTAGAAGGATACTTATGTAACTCAGAAGCAGCACTTTGGGCAGGCAAGGCAGCCCCGCTGAGTTCCTGAGATGAGAGATTGTGTATGTCCTGCTTCTCACTACACTTCAGCATGTACATTGCCTCACACCTCCTAGAAGCCCAGTAAAGGAATGATCCCATCAGCAATTCTTAAAACAAAGGGAGGGGGAAGTTTCTTTCTATAAAAATTTTGTTATCATAATAAAAAGTGCAATTAATTACAATATTAATTAAATAGTAATAGTTAAGCTAAGACATCTAAACATTCATTGATATTTTTCCTCTAAATAATCTTTATTTTTCCCACTCTTTCCCAGAGAGAATTTTACCAATTATTTAATTTAATTATTTGATAAGGGAATTACATTATTGCTCCTCCAAGTTTAGAAGCAACTTTCTTCCAAGGATGGGGATGCTTATGATCTACATTTATCTCCATCTCCATAGTGAAGATATGAGGAATAGAGATGATGCTTCTTCTCAGTTTTCAAATAACTACATTAACAAATAAAGTGAGCATTTATATAGCACCTATTATGCACCGGGAACTATGCATTTGACATTGGCACCCTAAGGCTATTACCTCTATTTTACAGTTGAGGAAACACGGGACTAAGTTAAGTAATATGCCCAAGACTCACACAACTGTAGGGGGCGTCTGGGTAGCTCAGTCGGTTAAGTGACTGCCTTCGGCTGGGGTCATGATCCCAGAGTCCTGGGATAGAATCCCACATCCGGCTCCCTGCTCAGTGGGGAGCCTGCTTCTCCCTCCCTCTGCCTGTTGCTCCCCCATCCTTGAGCTCTCTCTCTGTCAAATAAATAAATAAAAATAAAAATAAAAAAAGAAAAGAAAAGAAAGGAATCACACAACTATAAATATTGGAACCAGGACCCAAGCCTAGGGCCCCAGAAACAGTATGTCAACCAACCACCTGTAACTCTCTTCCCCATCTAGCAGCTACTAACTACTCCATGTTATTAGACATTGTGGATGGTAAGTAATATACATTATTTCCTATAAATGGTCTAAGAAGAAGAGGTCCTGTGGTGCCCTATAGTGCAAACCCCCTTCACCAGAACCAGGTGCCGCAGGGGTGTCTCCTATGAGGCTGCTTGTCCCCCTGTTGTGGCTGAGTCTTCAGTCCCGTCAGCTGCAATGACTGACTTCACCTGTTGGGGACATGCCGGGGCAGGGTTTGGTCCCTGTGCCAGTAAGGGCCTATCTGGGGATGCTCAGGATCCAAGCTGGGCAGTGTCAGCAGTCAGACAGGATATCTGCCCTCAGCCCAACTGCCAGGACTGCCATCACACCGAACCGCAGGGCATTCTTCCTGTGACGTCGCTGAGAGGTTTTTGTTGGTGGGCAGAGCAGGCAGTTAGACTAGCTGCCTGTCCCCACACTCCACCCCAGTCTGTCTGCTGGGGCCATAGTCACACTGATCTCCAACAGGTAGCTCTCCCTCTACTGCTGGTTACAAGGAGAGGCTGCTGGGACTTCAGAGGCAATGGTGTGTGTGGTTATCTTCCCCTCCCCCCAGGGCAGGAGTCACTTTGGAGAGGTGTTGGTCCCTGCTGGGGCTATTTGCAGGATGTGCCAGGGCAGAAGCAGCTTTGGAGGGACATGTGCCAAATGGGGTGGTGTGGATGGGACCGATCTGCAGGGGAACACAAGGGTGGGGCCCACGGTGTTGGCAAAATAAGTGGAGAGTGTTCCCACTGGTTCCCAAAGTGCCTGGCTATCTAGGCTGGGAGGGGAGGGGATGAATGGAAATGAACCCACCAGCACACCCGTCAGAATGCCTACACTCAAAAAGACTACAAATCCAAGTTAGATGAGAGTGTGCAGAGAAAGGAACCCTTGTGCACTGTTGGTGGGAATGCAAACTGATGCAGCCACCGTGGGAAACAGTATGGAGGTTCCTCAAAAAATTAAAAATAGAATTATCATATGATTCAGTAATTCCACTACTGCGTATCTACTCAAAGAAAACAAAAACACTAATTTGAAAAGATTTTTGTATCCCTAAGCTTATTTCAGCATTATTTACAGTAGCCAAGATGTGGAATCAACTCTGGTGTCAATCAACAGATGAATGGATAAAGAATAGTTGTATGTATACACAATGGAATGTTTCTCAGTCATAAAAAAGAATAAGATCTTGGGCTCCTGGGTGGCTCAGTGGGTTAAAGCCTCTGCCTTCGGCTCAGGTCATGATCCCAAGGTCCTGGGATGGAGCCCCACATCAGGCTCTCTGCTCCGCAGGGAGCCTGCTTCCTCCTCTGTCTCTGCCTGCCTCTCTACCTACTTGTGATCTCTGTCAAATAAATAAATAAAATCTTTAAAAAAAAAAAAAAAGAATAAGATCATGTCATTTGCAACAGCATGGATGGACCTACAGGATATTATACTAAGTAAAATATGTCAGACAGAGAAAGACAAATACCATATGATTTCACTCATATAAGGATTTTAAGAAAAAAACAAAAAGTTATAAAAAGAATTTCTAAAATCTAAATAAATGAAATGACTCTATTCTTGGATAGGATAATATATAAATTTTAGAATTATCATGCTCCAAGAGAAGCTCTATTGAGAGAAAAGCCAGGATATTGCTGAATAGGGAGACCAGGGAGGAAGAAATTGCCCTTCAAGGTATCAGGGCTTATTATGAAGCTATTTTAATTAAACAGAGCAAGATGAGATAAACAGCCTTACAGGACAGAAAAGAGCCCAAAACAAACCCACACATTTGGGAAACCTTAGTATATAAAAGAGGTGGTACATCAGATAAGCGGGAAGAGTAATCTATATCCGATGGAAAACAATAAAATCAAATTCCTACTCAAGCCACAGACAAAAATCCACGTCAGATGAATTAAGGACTTCATGTCAGAAATAAACTTTAAAACCAATTACTGCAAAATATCAGTGAATATCTTTTAGAATTTGTTACAAGGAAAGATTTCTTAAATAAGATTCAGCACTGACTACAAAAGAAGAGATAGATTAAAATTATGAAACTGGTTCACCTTAGGGGCACCTGGGTGGCTCAGTCGGTTAAGTGTCTGACTCTTGATTTCAGCTCAGGTCACAAGCTCAAGGTCGTGAGATTGAACCCCACGTTGGGCTCCAGGCTGGATGTGGAGCCTGCTCAAGATTCTCTCTCTCCCTCTGTCCCTCCCCCCACCCACTCACACACAGACGCTGCCTCAAAGAAATAAAATAAAATTTAAAAATAATAACTAAAAAAAAAAAAAGAAATTGGTTCACCTTAAAGAAGTAGAAAGTAAAGTTACAAATGGAAAGATATTTGTAGTATACAAGCAGCAGACAGTCTCACAATGGCTGCCAGCAATTTCTTCTCCGCGTGTGTCTGCTACTTCACACATCAAGAAGTGGAGGCTATTTTCCCTAGAGGTTATTCTCTCCTCTTGAATCCAGACTGACTTTATTATTTGTAGAAGTATCATTCTGAGGTTTTCAAGCAGAGGCCTTAAAAGGGCTGGCTGCTTCTTGCAACCAGCCTCCAGGGAAAAAGTCCAACTGCCCCCAAATGACCACATTATAAGAAAACGCACGCTCAGCAAATGGCGAGGATGCATGGAAGAGCACCGAGACACCAGACCACCCAGTCCAGTCCTACCTAGGGAGCTACTGAATACACCGGAGTTATTCCCGCTGACA